ACACACATACAGACACACAAACACACACAAACACACAGACACATAGACACACACAAACACAGACATACATACAGATACATAAACACACATAGACACACAGACACAGACAGACACACACACAGATTTCACACACATTTTAGGTTGCTGAATTTTAAGCTTAAACAGATGGAAGAATAGACTCAACTTCTTGGGAACGGTTACTCTCTCTTTTGCATAATCTTTGCTCCTTAGTTTTTGGTGGGCTGGCCTATAAGCACATCGTGTGCCTTTTGCTTTCAAGGACTCCAACGCATAACAGTCTTATTTTGAAATGTCATAGCTAGCTTCATTAGCATGAATTTATATTGATTGAAGAGACATACTGATTGTGTTGGGATCAGTTCAGGGTAAAGAGATCCTGTAACTTAAGACAAGGGGCTCAACTGGGCTGCAGGACTCCAGACTTTTCTCTGCAGTTCCTAAATACTAGGACACCAAGCCTTCTATATCGTGATTTCTTTTTATTTTGACTCAACCAAAAAAGTCTCAACCACTACTGCTTTTGACTAACCCTACAAAGAGAGCAGTTTCTGCTCTAGAAACGTGCTTCCAGGAGCTTTGCTCTCCTTGATCCTAGTGTGTGCTTACCCATGGGGCGTGCCCACAGAGCTGTAGGCTCCGTTCCTCACAGTGGTTAGCTCTTATCTGATGCCTGGGAAAATGTAGTTGGCAGCAAGGGGAAGGCGGTGCCCCCATCACGATCACTTTCTTTCCTTTCCTTTATCTAGGTTCTGAAAACTAGCCGGTTATTTCCCCAAGGCTTCACAGAGAGCATGCATGCTTCCCTCTGGACTTTAATCCCCTCTCAGGAGCAGTCTTCACTCCCTGTCCACTCGAGCTCCAAGGGCCAGACACAGACTTGTTCGTACCCTCTGGTGGATGGTCTTTGACTGCTTCCCTTGGGACTGAGGTACTTATAGACTCTGAGAGTCCTACCTCAGGATCTCTCTCAAGAGAAGGGTGGGGAAAACTACTAGATCCTCCTAGATAGCTATGTAACTATTGCAGGATCTTTTCACTACCTCTAAAAACAACAACAACAACAGCAGCAACAGAAAAAAAAATCAACAAACAGCCAAAAAGCATTCATCACCATGGGGAAGATGGTTCAGTAGCTGAAGTTATTGCTTTGCAAACATGAGGACCTGAGTGTGATCTTCATAACCCATGTAAAAAAGCTGGGAGTGGTGGTGCACGCCTATGATCCTACTACTAGGGCAAGAGGAGAGGCAGTAGACGGCTCCCTGGGGCTTATGGCCAGCCAACAGTCTGCTTGGTGAGCTCTCAGCTAGTGAGAGACCCTGTCTCAGTAGACAAAGGGAATGGCGCATAAGGAATGACGTCAGAGGTTTATCTCTCCACACACATATAGACAAATATGCAGTCTCTCTCTCTCTCTCTCTCTCTCTCTCTCTCTCTCTCTCTCTCTCTATGTCTCTCTGTCTCTCCTTTATTCAGATTTCGGATCTCCCACTCTGGTAGCGTGAGTTCCCCCTTTTTTAATCTTTTTTTTTTAAATCTCTACTTTTTTCAGTTCATTTTTGTTTCACCCAAATATTTGTAAGTTGGAAATAGTTGTGTGTGGTAATATTCTAAGGCTAATGAGAAGGCTAATTTTAGTTCTCCCTTCATATGCAGAGGCACAGACATATTTCCCAACATCATATATCTGTAGAAGCACAGACTGGATTCCTAGGATGGTCGGGCATAGCGTGAGGAGCCCCGTTTCGGTTTTCTCCTTAAGGAATTTCTCCAGCCTATGCACAATGGCATCAAGAAAACTTTTCTGGAAAATGTCCTTGAAGCAAAACATACATTTTACAGATAAGAAAAAGGGTACCATTTACTTTTATTATTTATGTGGCATAAACACTTCTTTATTTGAAAGGAATTAATATACTTATTTTGAGGCATTTGTTTTGCTTTTATTTTTATGGAGTTTAAACAATTGAATACTTGAAAAGAATTTGTACCCAATATACTTACTTTGAAAATTATTTTTCCCTTTTCTCTGGATTTTTGGTATTTGTGACAATGGGAAGGATGATTTCAGAAAATACTGAAAAGATCTTTCTCTATGGGCTGTGGACATCTGTACAAGGAGAGAGTCTCATAGTCTCTTAGTTGTAGTGCTGGAGACTGAACCAAGGACCCTATGGCCGCCATGCGTGCGCTCTATCACTAAGTTATACTCCACTGTAAGGTTAGGGGCAGGTACAGGCAGAAGAGGTCCCAGAGGTCAGAGGGCATTCATAGGTGGAATGAGGATACGTGGGGATGATATGAGGATGGTAGGGTACCAGTGAAAGGAGTGAAATTCAGGAAGAACTATGGAGAGTGAAATGGGGATGAGGAAGAATTAAGGCTGGGAGAGGCCAAGGACCTACATCTATTAAGAGCTAGAACTGGCACTCGCTATGCTGGATGACATCCATTGCCATGCTCACCTAATAACGCGGCAGGACATTTTCCTCATGGAAATGAACATGGAACGTTTGTGTGATCCCAGAGCCTAAATATTGGGTCTTCTGCTCAAGATAAAAGGATTCTAGAAAAACTCTTTACTTATTCCTTATTAGAATCCCATTCACGGATGGGAAAATGAACCATTACTCTTTGGAGATGTATATAAACCACTAAAATTAGATAGGACCCCGTATATTTTCAGTTTAGCATATGTGCTAGCGAGCTTTCAATCAAGTTTTCCTCCAGAATTACACACAATCAGCGGGCAGTTTCAGAGAGACCACTGATGAGGTTATAAACTTGAAATTAAAGTTTCAAATTATAAGGAGAGTTGTCTTGTGTTTTGGTATTTCTGTGTTGGTCTGACCAACACATTTTCACTAGCGGTTTGGAAGTTTAGTTCTGCAACAAAGCTGATTGGCTGAAACCCAAACTGAGGGCTAAGTAGAATCATTACATAAGTGAGGAAGACATTTAGTGGCATCAAACTTGCTTTCATCATTTTTTAACTGTGTACATAAATTTAATGATTAAATTCTGCTATTTTTTCAAAAAAATTCATTTCTATGTACAGTTTTTTTAAAGGATTTATTTATTATGTATACAGCGAGCATTCTACCTGCATGTGTGCCTGTACTGCAGGCCAGCGAGGGCATTGAAACACATTGCAGATGGTGGTAGAGCCATTGTGTGGTTGCTGGGAATGGAACTCAGGACCTCTGGAAAGGCTGCCAGTGCTCTTAACCTCTGAACCGTCTATCCAGTCTCCATCTTTGGAAATTTAATGGAATGTATCTTGACTATATTCACCCTTTCCCCCTCATTCCTCCCAGATCCTTTCTGCCTTCCATGGCCACTCAACTTTGTGTCTTATTTTTAAAAAGTTAAATATAGCTTGTGCTGCTGATATATTCTTGGATATTTGGCCTTCACCAGAGGGTTTAACCCACCAGCAGCCCATCCTTTAAAGAATATAGACTCTCCCTCTCTGCACTTGTCAACTGCTGGGGTGGGATTTTGTGCCCACCTCTCTTCCCCACACTGCTATTCTATCCAGGGCCAGTTTGAAGGGCTCTTGCGCATGCTGTCCCAACGGCTGGGAACACATAGGTTCCAGGAAACTCTTGTCAGTGCATCCAGTTGGTGCCCTGCATCATCTTATTTTCAGTTGGGTGCTATCTCCTGAACAGGGTTAGAATGATAATGTTTGCTTCTGATTCCAAGGCTGTATGTAGGCGTCTTTTGAATATATATAAATTTAAGATAATTTTGTGGGGTAAGGCAAGGCCTTTTTAAAAAAATTGTTCTTCAATCTGATGTACACTTTTCTCTATCTGGGAAAATGAAAAGATTGAGAGTTGGTACGTGCCAATTAAAGGGTGAGGCATTGGTCTTAAAAATGCCTTGAATACAAAATAGTCAGCTATGAAAGACTCATCTGATAAGCTTAGTTTACCGAAGGCCGAACTCATCTGTCTGATGTGCGAATATTGAACCAAGACTTAGAAGCAGCGTAAGTGCTTGTACAGAACGCAGCAGGTTGCGAGCTTCCCCCCTCCTGAGGTTCTGCAGCAGTAAAATGCTGTGAAGGAGGGCAGAGAACACATCCTTCCTGCTCTGACTTTTCTGCATCTGCATTCCTCTTTCCTACCTTACCTGATCCTGATCTGAAGGAGGAAGCTGGTGTCTGTGGGGCTCAGGAGAGTGATGTCGCCCACAGATGCAGAAAGAACAGTAGAGACGGGGAGGGGTAACGCTGGTTAAGCATGCTTGGTTCACCAACTCTCTTATGGAGAAGAACCTAAGTTACAAAATTATGCGCGTGGTAAATGATCTAATTTTCTACTAGCAGAAACAGAGTTGGAACAGTTTGAGTTCCCACAGGTTCAAACTTTGGAGCTGTGAAGGTTTCTTTGTCTCATACTCTAGAACATGGTGCCCCATAACCCTAAGCATCTGGTTAGAATACCATGAGAGAGACTGCTTTCTCAGCATGGCTATACTTTTTATAAGGAATGGCATGCTTTGTAATGTTAGTGCATGTAAATGTGCACGTAGTAGACCATCTCCTTTTTGAACACATGGGATCCTTCCTGCATGATGTAAACCAGAGGTAGGAAAAAGTTTCTAAAGTCTATTTTTTCTGATATTGTCCTTTGATATACCTTAGTATTAATTCAGCCCCCCCCCAAATACTGTAGAGAGAAATGCAGGGATTTACAGTTTTCATAAATATGGAACTCCCATCCCTTCTGAGTCCAAGCAGACTCAGTTGGCAGGACTTTCTGATTTCTGCATACTATCCTTAGAACATCTTCCAGCTCCAGGGAGGCCAGGACAGAACAGAGCAGGATTTAGATCTAAGAAATTGCAACTCAGAAGGCGTGTCTTTCCTGTTTCCCACTCCAGAGCAGCCATGGTGTGCTGCGGTGAGCTTGGAGTGCAGTAGATTCTCTGTGCCTCCTCCTGGGACAAGTCTGGGCATTACCCTCTGCGCTGGGCTCCAGCCACTCCACCACTCTCAGATGGTATTCCCAAGACTGTTGAGCAGAATGTTTATAAGTCTCTGAAGCATTAGAGAGTTCTGGGCTCTTCTGACCTGATCAAAGCATCTTAGGAAGGGGAACCAAGAAAGGAGTGCTGACTACCAGGAAGACTTTCAGCTGATGAGGATACTTGGAGTTCCTGGGCATTCAACTCTAGATCACACCTCCATTTAAGTCTCAACGGTAAGAACCAAGGGAAGGGATGCTCCTGGAATTGGACTAAAAGGGTAGTGGCCTCACAGAGGGTGCTTGGAAAATCTTTTACACGCCAATGCCAGCAAAGACTTAACACCTCCAGTGTTTGAGACGCAGCACTTTCTTCTCATTCAGCAGACCAGGCCAGGCAAGCATTTCTAGCAGAGAGGGCTTCAGACAAACCCTTGGCCTCCGGCACTTGCATTGCACCCAGAGAAGCATGCATACCGGCAGGTCAGAGGATTCTCCGTCACAGAAGAGGCCTAATTAAGGGTTAAAGCAGGCTTTCCTAAGATGATAATTACTACAGCAAGGGATTTTCCAAGTGAAGAAGGTAGGACTGTCTCAGTGCCAGGAAATAGCATGGGCAACTCAGCCGTAAAAGATCATGAACAGCCGACAAACAAGCATCTTCCCCATTGGAAAGCAGTAAACAGGGTGAGGAACAGTGAGTGCTGTGGTTGGTTATGGATGTCTCTGGATAGGGGTCTCAGGTGGGTGTCTTAATGTCAATACTGAACCTTTATGTCTGTGCGAGGCACCCTGCCCTCCTGCAGGTATTCAGGAACACACGTGGCTTGCTTCTGACGAGGGGCCTAAGGAGATATTTACTGTTAGGACCCTGGAGAAAAGATTGGCTCTGTCGAGTCTCACTCAGCCACTGAGGTACAGCTCTCGCTCCTGAGCTCCTTTCTCACAGTTAAGAATAGCTGGCACGGAGAGATAAAATGGAGGAGAGCTATTCAGAAAAACAGGTCTGTATGTGGTCAGACACAGGGAAGTGGGAGGAAGATTCTACAGTGCAACTTGTCTGCCCAATCCTAAAAGGGCCTTTCCTCCCCAGGGCAGCAGTGCAGGGACTTGCATGGCATTGGGAGGGAAGACAGGATCTGAAATAACTCTCATCAATGCAATAGTAGCAACAGCCGTGCAGAATTGTGGGCACAAAAGCACTCATCTGTCAGTTCTGCGTATTTTCCATTTAAGCAAAGCAAAGCTATTAAGTTCCACATTGAAGTCCTGCTTACTGTTACCTGCACAAGCTATGAAGTAATTTGATTAGAAGCAGGGGGTGAAATAAACAAATCTCCATTAATTATAAATCTCAACGTTGTGGACAAGGTTCTCTAGACTTGGCCCTCGCATTGTAGCTGTTTTTCCTGTTTTTCAGTCCCGTGGCTGGCCTCTCTCAGACTTTATGTCCCACTAGGGAAGCAATCTGCTTGTCAAGAGACAATACTGGGTGAAGGTTGTGCACCGATAGGCTGTTATCTAATACCCACAGAGGACACATGGATGTTGTGGAGACGGCTGAAGGGGCCATCTGCAGAGGCACAGCCAGCCTTGATGGGATTATGGAGGATGCAGATGAGCAGTGAGCATGCTTACTAGCCCAGGTGTAGTTAGCAGAACACAGTGGGGACCACTTTTCAAGAGCTGGGGCTTTTGGTAGAAGAAAATCTCCCATCCTGAACGTGCCTGATGGGAAGGGCAGGTGAGAACAAGCGTCTGGTTTCTGCTATTGCCCCTCTCTCTCTGCCTGGTTCCTCATACTGGCAGGACCAGGCTGGAAACAGGAGAGTCTGGATGATCCCAGAAATGGTCACCTTCTGGATGCACCATGCTGATACCTATTGGGGCAGCCTATAGGGCCAGGGAACTGAGACAGACTCACCCCAGGTATGGCTCTGCTCTACCCTGTCCAGTGAATTCAGAGGCCAGCTGTGATGGACCCTACCTTCCAGCCCAATGGTAGACTCATCATTTGTCTTTGTATGCATTGCTAACACTAGGTCTATTTAACAATCTCTGTGGAGCTTGGGGGTGAGCCCACTTTATGGAGAGAGGTACAAAGTCACAGGACGCTTACAGGGCAGCAACTGTACTGTTACCACTGCTCCCTGTGATGGACAGCTCCAAGTTCTTTGAGGTTTGATGAATATATTCTTGATTTCGCACCCTGGTATCAAATCAACGGGACATGGCATGCAACACCCAGAACAAGCCTTCAGGCTGCAGCTTTGAAAGATTGCTGTGAAGAGCTGCTAGCTGTAACCAGCAAGGAAAGTCAGACAGTTAGTGATGACTCCCGGATTAATTTACCGCAGAGTCTAGAAAGTCTGAGCTTCACCTCACCTCCAGGGAGCTTTCTTTAAGGAGTGGTTATTGTGAAGAACAGCCCTGTTTCTAGCCAGGTCCTGCCAGTATGAGGAACCAGGCAGAGAGAGAGGGGCAATAGCAGAAACCAGACGCTTGTTCTCACCTGCCCTTCCCACCAGGCACGTTCAGGATGGGAGATTTTCTTCTACCAAAAGCCCCAGCTCTTGAAAAGTGGTCCCCACTGTGTTCTGCTAACTACACCTGGGCTAGTAAGCATGCTCACTGCTCATCTGCATCCTCCATAATCCCATCAAGGCTGGCTGTGCCTCTGCAGATGGCCCCTTCAGCCGATTCCACAAACATCCGTGTGTCCTCTGTGTGTATTAGATAACAGTCTATTGGGGCACAACCTTCACCCAGTATTGTCTCTTGACAAGCAGATTGCTTCCTTAACGGAACATTAGAAGATCATTCTAATATGACCCTCCAAACCACTTTATAATATACCCAGAGAGAGAAATTACCAATTGAGTTCACTCCTGCCTCAGGGTAATTCATTTATTGATGTAAAGTATTACTCATTGAGGATTATACTGTAAAACTCATCCATTCATTCAAACACAGATTTTTGATTATGCTTGCTAAATTTACATGGATACTTTAATGCAACATGAAATTAATGTAGTATGAAATGTTACAGTTTCTTCTAACAGTTGTGGATCATTGTATGTTTTATGATATTTATTATATGTCCAAGAATACTGTTATTTTTTTTCTTTCCAGGGGAAAATGTGTTGCTGCATTTGGGGACATAAATGAGTTTTATTTATAAATAGAAATGCTCTCTTTTCATAATGCCTGCTCAGTACCCAGCTCCTTCTGGCTCACCGGCATCCCAGGGCTGGAGTCCCTGCACATCTGGCTCTCCATCCCCTTCGGCTCCATGTACTTGGTGGCCGTCGTGGGGAACATCACCATCTTAGCTGTGGTAAGGATAGAGCGCAGCCTGCACCAGCCCATGTACTTCTTTCTGTGCATGCTGGCTGTCATTGACCTGGTTCTGTCTACTTCCACTATGCCCAAACTCCTGGCAATCTTCTGGTTTGGTGCTGGCGCCATTGGCCTGGATGCCTGCTTATGCCAAATGTTTCTTATCCATTGCTTTGCTACTGTTGAGTCAGGCATCTTCCTTGCCATGGCTTTTGACCGATATGTAGCCATCTGCAACCCACTGCGTCATAGCATGGTGCTTACCCAGGCGGTGGTGGGTCGTTTGGGGCTGGCTGCTCTCCTCCGAGGAGTTCTTTACATTGGACCTCTACCGATTATGATCCGTCTGCGACTGCCTCTTTATAAAACCCAAGTCATCTCTCACTCCTACTGTGAGCACATGGCTGTGGTTGCCTTGACCTGTGGTGACAGCAGAGTCAATAATGTCTATGGGTTGAGCATTGGCTTTCTGGTGTTGATTCTGGATTCAGCGGCCATTGCCGCCTCCTACGTAATGATTTTCAGGGCAGTGATGGGGCTGGCCACTCCCGAGGCCAGGCTTAAAACCCTGGGGACATGCGGCTCTCATATCTGTGCCATTCTGATTTTCTATATTCCCATTGCTGTTTCTTCCCTCATTCACCGGTTTGGTCACCGCGTGCCTCCGCCAATCCACACGCTGCTGGCCAACTTCTACCTCCTCATTCCCCCGATCCTAAATCCCGTTGTCTATGCTGTTCGGACCAAGCAGATCCGAGACAGGCTTCTTCAGATCCTAAAGACAGGGACCAAGATCAGGTGACTGCAGTTTCCTCTTTTCTCTCAAGTAAGTCCCTGGAGAAGAAAGCATTCAAATATGGACTCCCATTCTGGGAAACCCAGTCTGGGCTGCGTAGCTGCGTTTGTAGTCCAGAAGGAGTGCACAATTCTGAAATGTCTGTTTATGACTGGAGGATGTTTGAACTGCAAAGAAGGTAAATCAACAATGACGTTGATACCAGCAGCAAGTAAATAGCACTTTAAAAATCCCACACTTTCCACACAATTCTTATAAATACTCTCAGATCTTATGAGGTATTATTGCTCACATGTTATGTATAAGGAAATAGGAAAAATTGCTCTATAATCCACATATAAAACGACTTAAACATTCTAGCTCAGTATTTGATTGAAATTTATAAGACACTTTGGTGTCATTACTAGCCCTTTGTATTTAGTTTTTTTCTAGACATGCTTTCATAAGTACATTTGAAAATCTTGCTCATTTCAAAGTCACCATAGATCCAAAAATATTTCCTGAGTTAACTGTTGCTAAAACAGATTTTAATAATAGAGAGAACCCGGTGTTTTAGAACACTGAACTGTATGTACAGCTGGCTGCAGACACCACTTAGGAAACCGAGCATGGATTAACAAAGCTATTGGATTAATGAGAAAATGACTGTATTTGCCAATTGCCTTTGTGGGTTTTGCTCTGGGCCTGAAGTACATGAGGCTTCAAGGAAGAGAAACTCTCCTTTCCCACTCAAATCCCCCCACCCTGAGTCCTGATCCACCTGTGGGATTTCTGTCTAAGAGGGATCAGTTTAAAATAAAGTTGCAATTTATAAACATGCTGGCATGTAGAAAATAGCTGTGTTGGATAGTGTTTTTGCCAACTTGACACAACCTGGAGCCACTTAAGAAGAGGGAGCTTCACTTGAGAAAATGCTTCAGATGGGCCTGTGGGACATTTTCTTAAAATTAATGACAGATATGGGAGACCAGCCCATTGTGAGTGTTTGCCATCCCTGGGAAGGTGGTCCTGAGTTGTATAAGAAAGCAGGTAGTAAGCAGCATTCCTCCACGCCCCTGTATAGGCTTTTTCTTCCTCTACATTTCAAAAGCCTCTAAGTCAACCAAAAATTCCCAATGAAGCATTGCTCACTATGTCAGTAACACTCCAGGGTGGGCCCTATTCCCAGGAGTAGAAAAGTGGACTACAAGTTCTTTTGTGTGTACTTTCTGTTTTATTTTGTTGTGGTATGTTTGTGTTGTTTGCTATGACTTTTTGCTTTTTTGCATCATGATTTTGAGAGAGAGAGAGAGAGAGAGAGAGAGAGAGAGAAAGAGAGAGAGAGAGAGAGAGAGAGAGAGAGAGAGAGAGAGAGAGAGAGAGGAAGGGGCCGAGTGTTGTGGAATAATCTTTGTGTGCACTGTGAAGATGTGTCTTTATCAAGGTGCTGAATGGCCTCCTTTTTGCTGAATGGCCAATAGCTAGGCAGGAAGAGATTGGGTGGAGAGAGAGGAAGAGGAGGTTAATGGAGATGCAGAAGAGACACGGGAGGACACTGAGAAGAAACAGGAGGTACAAGACGGAAGAGAGGTAAAAAGCCAAGAGGCAAATGTAGATGAATATAAATGGATTTATTTAAGTTATAAGAGCAAGTGGGGAGGGGGCTAGAGAGATGGCTCAGTGGTTAAGAGCATTGTCTGCTTTTCCAAAGGTCCTGAGTTCAATTCCCAGCTCACAACCATCTGTAATGAGGTCTGGTGCCCTCTTCTGGCCTTCGGGCATACACACAGACAGAATATTGTATACATAATAAATAAATAAATATTAAAAAAAAGAGCAAGTGGGACAAACCTAAGCTAAAGGCCAAGCTTTCATAATTAATAATAAGTCTCCATGTTGATTTTTATGAGCTGGCCAACTACATATGGTGTCCAATGTCTGGCCATGTATATCCACATAAGGCCTAAGAAAGTTTAAAGACAAAAAAATCAGAACTTGGAGTCAAACATGGCTTCCTGATGACCATGGGTAGGCTCAGTGGTATGCAGAGACTTGGCTACCAGCCACTGCCTGTGGCCCGGAGCCAGTGGCCAGTACCATGTGCCAGCACCAGGTGCTAAGCTGAGCCACACAGCAGCAGATATAACAGTTTAAGATTTGTCTCACGCGACCAGAGAACACTGCAGCGGCTCAGTAAAGACAGATCCAGAAGGAAAAAGAACCTCTAAACAGGTTATAGTGTGTTTAAAAAAATGTGCATAGATTTTAAAAAAGAAAGGAAAATGAGTATAGACAGCCATAGAAAAGTAGTTTATAAATAATAAGATAAAGTCTTTACAGAGAATAAAATAGTATAAAAATGATAAGTCATGTAACGATGGAAAATACACAGAAAGTCTGGATCCTATATGGTGTCTTGTTGACTTTAAATTGTTTTATTGCTGATGAGCAAACAAAGGCTGCTGAGAGATGTGGGAGAGAAGAGGAACTGCTGAATTAAACCAGCCTAGCTACGTTAGGAATGCCTTAACCTTAAAGTGGAATTCAAAATTGTATTGCATCAGAGAAGAGGTTATGCTTTTGTTTCTATAGCAAACAAGAGGCTGTGAATTCCTTCAAGGTTAAAGAGAGTCAGGTTTTATAGGCGGAGACCTTCTGAAAATCTTGACTACAAGTATGAAGAAATAAACCTAAAAAATTTCCAAAACAAACTACAAGAGCGGTGGCGTATATTTACCTGCTCAGACATAAAACAAAAGATTTTTGGCTAGCAGTGTACAACACTTGTAACATGCTTGTGTTAATACAGATACGTATGCTACCTTTGAAAGTCTGTGTGTTTTTAGAGTAAAGGGACCAGACACCAATGAAAACAGGTAGCCCAGGTGACCCAGCCTCTCAGAGTGCCTCTGTTGCAGTTTCCTCAGAGTTCTACATCCAGAACAGCTTTATTCAAAGTTGTTGCCTGAGATGGTCCAGCCTCCAGACTATTCCAGCCAGGACTGCAGATAGACCTTGTGTTTTCCCTTTGCACAAAGACTGAGCCATAAAGATTATGGCTAGTTTTCCCAGGACTTGACCATTATCTCAATTTTCTCAGGTTCCAGATCTCCCAGACAACAGGAAGCAGTCTAGAGGATAAAACACCTATATTCCCAAGAGGTGGGATGGTTAATTTTTGATCTTTTTGTGGGTTATAAATGTTTGTCATCATTTAGGGGGGCTGTGTTAAGTAAATATAATAAGAAAAGAGGCGTCTCTGCCAGCACAAGAAAGTCCAATTAGGTCAAATCAAACTGAATCAAAATACCCATTGTTGTATTCAGAATGATGCTCTTGGGTGGTCGAGTACACAGTGGGGAGACAGGACAGCAGGGAGCCCATTCAGAGCCCCAAACCACATGTTTCTCCTCTGGGAGCACACTTAAATACCCTGTGGGCATTCTGGAATTTCGAATCCAGAGCAAGGCAACTTCCAGACCTGGGAGCTGGGTTGGATGCCAGGGACTGGGGGCTATGCTCTCAACTTAAAAGGTTGGTTACAAATTTTTCCTGGTCATGGTCAGGGAGGAAGCTAAATAAAAGAGATCAGACTCAGGAATCTATTTCTAAAGGGAAAAAGGGGAATATAATAAAGAAATGATGGAATAAAAGAGTAGACTGTTGAGTCTAATTTGAATAAACACTAGTCTAAAATGTTTTATATTGGTATGGATTTTTATATATTGATATAAATTTAAGGTTATTTTTATTATACTGCATATATGTTTCTCTTTTTGTTTAAGGTATTGTACCTATATAGTTTGTTTAAAAATGTAAAATTTTAGTCTTTGAAAGCTATTTAGAATAATACAGAAATACATGTTAGTCATTAGTTATCTATAATAATCAAACTTATAGTCATGTTAAGTTTATTTATATATTTATAGATAATATATACGCATATTTATATATATTTTAGACAGGTGATTTTCAAACACTTCAAAGACCTTCAGAATATGGCATTTAAAATGCTTTAATAACATGAGAATTTTCAAGTCAGGCAGTGGTGGCAAACACCTTTAATCCCAGCACTTGGGAGGCAGAGGCAGGTAGATTTCTGTGAGTTTGAGGCCAACTTGATCTACAAGAACTAGTTCTAGGACAGCTAGGACTGTTACACAGAGAAACTCTAAAAAAAAAAAAAGGCTTTTTATGACAGTGAGACACGTCTGCTCTTGGCAGCACTAATTTACTTCAAAAAAGGATGATAGGGATTGAGGAACCTCCATATAGAGTTTGCTTTCTTTGTGGCAAATGTTAGCCATTTGGACATGAAACTGCTCTTGATTGAGTGTTGGCAGTATGCTGTCCAAATGGACAGGACACAAAAGAAGAAAACTGCCAAACTTTGCCAAGACAAGGCAGGACAGTACTTAAAAATTCATGTCTCCCAGAAAAGTCTGTCATATATTTTAGATCCATAGACTGAAGACGGATGCCCTAATGTTGCAGAGGAACCTTGGAGTGACTGTTCAGGCAGGCAGATACCTCTGTTATTTTTTAGTTTTGGAAGTGGTTTGCTCTGAACTTCCTATTTACTCAATACTTTATCCTTCTCAGGTCTCTGATGGAGTTGAAGATGAGATAGTTTTAGTTATAGTTTTCCTTTGTTACCAAATTCAGAAAAGAAACTTACAAAAGATATAAAATGTATAAGGTTGAGAGACATAAAAATTTGAGTTGTTTTTCTAAGAGCATGTTCTAATGTCCAAAAAGATGTTTTTAGGTTGGTAATACAAGATATGATAAAAAAAGTGATTTAGGTATAAAAATTTGGACTCACTAAGGTAGGATAGATAATATAGTACTCGCTCCAAATTTGCAAAATGCGTATGGACTGGATGCTGTAAATATAATTCTTACTTGAAAATTGTTCTTATTGTGTATAGTTTTACTTTGTTAAAGTTAAGTTCTTCCCTTTTAATTTGGACAATTGTTATTATTGTAGATAGTTTTACTGTATTAAAGTTAAAAAACCTTTCCTTTTTATTTAGACAAAAGAGGAAAATATTGTAGGATAATTTTTTGTGTACTTTGAAGATGTGCCTTTGCCAAGTTGACTT